GTACCCTGGACGAACCGAGCCTCTGTTGGCTGAATCCGGAGGACCGAGCCCCTGTAGCTGAGACCGAATCTCGGTCTCTGTCGCCGTCTTTGCTCCTTTTCTCCTCTCTGTCTTGATCCGCCTCTCGGTCTCTGCTCTCTCTTCCCTCCTCTCGGTCTCTGCTCCTTCTCTCCTCTCTGTCTCTACCCGCCTCTCGGTCTCTGCTCTCTCTTCCCTCCTCTCGGTCTCTGCTCCTTCTCTCCTCTCTATCTCTACCCGCCTCTCGGTCTCTGCTCTCTCTTCCCTCCTCTCGGTCTCTGCTCCTTCTCTCCTCTCTGTCTCTTCACGCCTCTCTGTTCTCTTCTCCCCTCTCGGTTCCTACTCTCCCTCTTCTTCCCTCTCGGTTTCTACCCTCCCTCCTCTCGGTTTCAGCATCAGAAGGCCGAACCTCGGCCAGAATTCGGAATTTGGTCACTTTTAGCCCATTTTTGATATTTTTAACATTTTAAGCCCGTTTTTCGTGATTTTAAAGCGGGATTTTCTCCAGAAATTATATTTTAACATAATAAACCCTAAATATTCATAATTTAAACATATTTTGATGAAAATCATTATTTAAATAATAAAAATCAAATGGGTGAATTATTAAAGGTGGAGTGTTGACTTTGCCTTATCCAATGTCACAAGCAACCACCCCACACCCACTCTATGACCAGCCATACCTCCCCACCTTACCTAGGTCACTTCAATGTCCCTTACACTCAATTTACACTCATTCCCACGTTTTTAGAGCTGGAACAAACATCCTCTCTCCTCATTTCTCTCATTTTCTCTCATTTCACTAAGTATCAAACACCACTTTTCTCTCAAACTTTTTCTCCACCAAACTCGAGATTCAAGGCTGATTATCAAGTGTTCTTCCACATTTGGTAAGCATAATCCATTCTCCTTATGATTATCTCACTTATTTCCACTCAAATCATGGATATCTTACACAAACTCCATCATATTTGTGTTAGAGCTTCGAATCTTCAAGTGTTCTTGGCTTGAACACTACTCTTCTTCAACACTTATCTACTGAAATCACTCAAGGTGAGTTCATACCCCTACATTTTCATGTTTTCTCAAGTTTTCAGGGGGGGGGGGGGGGGGAATACAAGTTAAAACGCTAAGAACATAACTAAAATTTTCTAACAGCCTTCATCAGAAAAGTTCAACTCCATTCACGGACTGTTTTGGGCATCTTAAACATTTTTTTTTCAAAACTGTACAAGGTGAAAATAGTTCAAGTTTTTAGCTTTAAAATGACTACTTTCACATCTCCATACGATTTTTCTACAATTTATGGTGATTTTTACAAAACTGCCTATCATTTCAAACAACAATCTGGACCAGTTTGTGATTATGGACTTTTTCACCCAAGTTGGAGGTCATTAAAAATCGTGATAAAAATTATGAATAAACTAGACACATTTTTTGAACTCTCAGAATTTACGGATCTAGTTTTTGACTTCGTATGAATTTTCTATGATTTTTCCAAAACAGGGCTGAATGGTTAAAGTTAGCCAACAACATGTAAATATCATAACACTTTGTATTATGTTGAGCAAAGTGTATAAACCTAAGTTCTAATTATTGAATGTGTTTCCTTGTTAGTTTGTCATCATGAACTGAAACTAAGTCATTCATAATAAATATTGATTATTCATTTTAGAACACGTATATCAAACTATAAAAGTATAGTTTAATAAATTCATAACACTAATACATTTCCATAAAAGAGTTCATACATATTACATACATTTTAGATAAACTATAATAGGTATAGTTTATGATACATCACTCAACACACTCGTACAGAAAGAGTACATTCATACAAGAAAGATTTATATTCACACACATTTCACGTAAATTTGTTAACCTATAGTTTAATAAATTCATAACACTAATACATTTCCATAAAAGAGTTCATACATATTACATACATTTTAGATAAACTATAATAGGTATAGTTTATGATACATCACTCAACACACTCGTACAGAAAGAGTACATTCATACAAGAAAGATTTATATTCACACACATTTCACGTAAATTTGTTAACCTATAGTTTGATAAATTCATAACACTAATACATTTCCATAAAAGAGTTCATACATATTACATACATTTTAGATAAACTATAATAGGTATAGTTTATGATACATCACTCAACACACTCGTACAAAAAGGGTACATTCATACAAGAAAGATTTATATTCACACACATTTCACGTAAACTTGTTAACCTATATTGTGAGACTCTCTCTCTCTCTCTCTCTCTCTCTCTCCCCGTACGTCCAAGTGCGGGATATAATTCCTGGTAGTTATAATCAGAATCTCCTTGAGGGAGAACGTGATACTTGTATATAGATCTATATTGGGTTTGACACCCCACACCTTGCTGCTAGCTACAGTGGGACCTGCAGGTCTACGGGTGACAAATGTCATTTTAGTTTTCGCGACGCCTGAGAACGTCGTGGCAGGTTCACATAGTCATAGTATGATTATAGCGACTCACATAGGGATATAACAATCCATAAGTTTACGGGATTTTATTTTTAAAACCTAAATGAGTTTTATGTCGATTTAAAATCACTTTTTATCTCTATGAGTACAGATATTATTGTACACTTTTGGTTTTGGTAGTTACGACTACACATCATTTGAAACCACATTTATACTTTTAAGTATGGTCAATACTTGTTATTTCTCGGTCCTCTAATTTAGGACTACATATATATAAAGTATTAACAAACATGAGAACATACAGAAATTTCATTTAATTCAAACGCGTCCATGTCCATTTAAGCAGATAACATTTTCTATTAATAAGAAATGTTAATTATACATTTTGGTCTTCAGTCATAAGACTACATTAAACAAATTTTAAAGAAAATATCGAATTTTCTGGATACATATTCTAACGCTTTTACAAGGAAAACGATTTACTTTTCTAACGAAATTTCTTATGAACTCACTAACCTTTGTGTTGACACTTTTCAAAACTACTTGTATTCTCAGGAATTCAGTGAAAACAGGAAATCAACAACGTTTTGAGGATGGGACGATAAATCGTCAAACAGTTCATTTTGTATCATAATGTAATTGATGTGAATCATGTAAACATGTGCTTTGATGTAACATTTTCAATTATATTTGTGTTGGTTGTATTTACTTTTAGCACTATTATACTCATTGTTGTAATACTCTACATGAAGTCCTCCACCCCCGGACGTTTCCGCCATCCTTGGTTTGGGGGTGTGACAGTACTCATGTTTGTGACTTTTAAGCGTAGCCACCTAGTACGCTGGGCGTACTATGCTCAGAATGAGAAACCCTAATTGAGGGGTGTCCCTATATAAAGAATGAGATGGCCTCATTCCTGGCCACCATCCTCAGTCAATAAACCCTCTTAAACCTTAATCCTCGTTCTTGAGCTTGTGTGTGTCCATTTGAGAGCCTTAAGTTTTTTTGTGTGTTCTTGGAGTAAAGAAGGAGCCTTGGAGAAGGAGTGAAAGTCCAGGCCTTGGATCTGAGCATATCTGAGTTAGGAGCTTCATTATGAGGTATAAAGCTCCAAGCTTTCTCACTCTTTTGTTTTGAGCTTCATATTAGAGTATCTTAGGGTTTTTGCCCCAAAGTTGGAGACTTTATGAGTTATTGAGCTCCAAAGACTATGACCAACCCAATTTGAGTGTATTTAGTGGTGTTTGTGTCATAAAAATCAAGCCTTGGACGTTGGAATCAAGCCATGCATGAGTTATGGGCATTTTGGGTTAAGAGAGTGGGTGTTTTGGGTGTTTGTGACCATATTAGCCATGCAAAGGCTTAAAGTCACTGACTTTATGGAGTAAGGGCTATTAGGGAATCCAGATCTATGATTTGAGTCAAGGTCTTAATTGATTAAGACCAAATGAGTAAAAAGAGTGAAACTGGGGAGTATGACGAGCGTAATTCCAGTATGCCCCGCGTACTGCCCCTGTGTCCCCGATGGCCAATCTGGATTCGTGAGTACGTTGAGCGTACCAAGGGAGGTACGCCCCGTGTAACCTCACTGTGGACTTTTGAGCTAAGTCTCATTTTTGGGCCTTGAGTGTTGGGCCTGGCGTTTGGGCTTGTTGCAATAGAGTTTTGGACCATAAGATTATATATACATATGTTCTTTGAGCCCTTGAGTTGGGCTTGCCACTTAGATTCGAGAGTTGGGCCTTGGGAGATCCCATTTATTAATGGGTTTTAGGTTATGGATGGGCTGGTTAGTGGACTACCTTTAGAACTAATGAGTAAGAGTTTGGACTTAGTTGCTAATTGGGTTAATTGCGGGTTTGGCTCAGAGTTAGAGGCCGGTACGTAGTAGCAACGTTTATAAGGGCTGTTCATCATCCGAGGTGAGTCTTTTCACTATACTTACCATGAGTGGTATCTTTGTGTGACTGAGATGTCTAATGTGTTTATATTGAGTACTGAGATATCATGCATTATGTCTATGTTATTTATGCTGTGTATTATTCTGTGCTTACTAAGTTATGGGACCGGAGGGTCCCACTGAGACACATTGACCAGAGGGTCTTACTGTGTTATAGGCTCGAGTGGCTAATGAGTTGTGTGTGGTATTTTGGGGAACTCACTAAGCTTCGTGCTTACCGTGTTATGTGATATGTGTTTCAGCTTTTTCTCAGGATCGCGGGAAGGCACCAGCTTGATTGTACACACAAGTGAAAGAGTTATGTTTTGAGGATCCTGGATTTTAATCAAACAATTATGGAGTTGCGAGCTGTAAATTAAATGAATGAGATTTTTGTAAAATGTGTTATGAGAATTTTATGATTTTAAATTAAAATTTTGCTTGAAAAATTACGGTGTTACACCTAGCAATTATAGCTCGCTGTTCTTCTTCTCACCATACTTGGACGGCTATTGGGCAAACATTTCATGCATAAACTAGGGACCAATGCATATCCATTAAAGCGGTCTTCAGATGCTTTCCAAAGGCTCTATTTCCATGCTTGAATATGTGAAAAAGAAACGCACCATCGCCGATTCTTTGGCTGAAAATCTTACCCTAATTTATTTTGAAGACCTAATTAATCATATTCTTGGTGGATTGGACTCTTCCTATGGTCCTTTCATCACCGCCTTTATGGTCAAAGATGACCAAGCTACTGTCGTTGACCTCCTCGACATGTTGCTGTAAGAAGATGCTCATTTAGAGCATCAACATCTTCGTCAACCACCGGTTAACCCACCTCTGACTCCCACATCATCAATTCCGTTGGCTCTCACCACACATACCATGTCAAATCGCTCACCCTCTACTGTAACATCCCGTTTTTCGTATTATTACTTTTTAGAAAGGTTTAACAAATGCAGTCGATAATTATACATATTAGACAGATTCCTGGAATTAATAAATTAATAAAATTTCCCTTAGACGTGAAGCAAAAAAAGTATGCCAAGGAATGGCAAATGCCAAATATGAAGTGAAAAAACATGCCAAAAGAAAAAAAATACCATTCAAAATCATGTCACATGACAATAAATTGTGAAAACAACCCAATCATTTAAAAGTTTCCTCTGGATCTCCCCAATTGAAATGTACTTATGTACATATACCTATACTAAAAAATGTTAATAACTTAGGATAACATTAGTAAATGGGGGTATAAATAATGAGAAATCTCCGATAAAATCTTAATTTTTTGGGGCAGTTTATGGTTTAATTTCAACTTTTGTTTTTTTGAATAAAAAAATCCGGATTATTTTAAATTTTTGACAAATTAGCGATACAATCAATATTTTTTTTTTTCAAAAGAAAATGATAGTTTATCATATAAAATTTGATAATCGAGACTTTTTCTGTACGAAAATAAATGTTGAGATTAAACCGTAAACTAACCAAAAATATTGAGAATTTATCGAAGATTTCTCATAAATAATCCCCAAAAATGCTAATAACTTCAAATAATATAAGTTCACAGTGAAACAAAGTTTAGATATCAAAACGTAATCAGCCATTGGTGATATCAAACCATTACGGACTTAATTTAGCTACCACGTTTTCAGTTTAGTTTATTGTGCGCTTTAGTTTAGAGTTTAAACCATAACACAAAGTATGTTGTTCTTGTTTTTTTAAATAAAAAGCTACATGATGCTTGTACTTAGATAAAATATAACATATTATAGTACCTGTAAACCGAGGATATAATAATCCCTATAAATAGCTTCGAATAATATTAGTTCAAATCAAAATATAGTTGAAATATCAAAATGTAATCAACCACCAACAAATTATCAAAACAGTAAATATATACACATAAAACATAAAAAATAAGTCGTAAAAACAATTATAAAAAATATAAAAACGAATTAGCACACTATTAAAACTTTAGAGGTTATTATACACCTAAAAATTTCCAGTGAACTTAAGTAACCAAAAAAAAAAGTTTAATCATAATAGATAGCCAAAAAAACATAAAAACCTATTGTTGTTAGTAATAGTGACTATTTTGATAAAATTTAAAAGTTTAGTGATGTTTTAAAATTTAAAACTAACTAAATGACCAAATAAACACAAAATTTAAAATTAAATGACTAAATATGGCATTCAACCCAAAAATATTTATAAATGAATCGATTTTGTGCAAATGTTAGCCATCTTGAGATAGACATTGTAATTTATTGATAACAGATCCTTTATGCAATTCAAAGATAGTTTAAGGGTAGTATCTGGAGACTGCTAAATAGTTGAGGTACTATCTTTGCAGATTACTCCAAATAAAAAAGAAAGGGGAAAAAGTTGGCCCTAGTTAAAGCGGATCCAATTGAATAATCGATTCCAGATGTGGAACTTCCCGCTTCCAAATTTCTAATCCGATTGTGGAAAAACATTTACCGCCAATCTCTCTCTGTCTCTTTCTTCTACTTTTTCGTTGTGAAACTCTTACACGGAGAGAGAGGATGTTGGGGAGGGTAAGGGCGTGTTCTTTGAGCTCTCTGGAGGTGTTAGAAATGGAGAGAACTCCTTCTAAGCTTCTCAAAGACGATTCTCTCTCCATCTATGGTTCGTACTCTTTTCTTCTTCTTTTCAATTATATTGCGAGTTTTTGATGTTAATCGATTCTCCTTCTTCTCAATTGACATATTGCGAATTTGTGATGTTAATCGAATATCTTCTGGATTTTGTTCTATGCTTCTTTGTGATTTCGTTCATGGTTTCTGTTTTGTGCGAGTCGATATGTAATGTAAGCAGTTTTGATTTGAAAATTAGGAACGGAGCTGAATCTATGGAATTGATGAGATTTTTTTAGTCCGGTTCGATTTCATCACCAAAAACATAAATCATGTAAATTAGCATCTGAGAATTACTAGATTTGACATCGGCAATTGAAGTGTACCTTTTCTCGTAATTAATCGAGTTGTTTGTGTTATTATCATTCTGTTGTGTGATAACTGCTATTATTGTTTGTTATTTAGAGAAGACACTGCTGAAGCTACAACAAGGTTCTCATCGTGATCTAAGTCTAATTCCTGATGAATCTATGAACACTGATACAAGTCCTTCAATGGCTTCTAATGAAGCATCTATGAAAGTGAATGCTTCCATGGACTCTCTTCCAAGCTCAAAAGAGGAGCCACATGGGAATTTGTCAGTCCTTTACATGTTTTCAAGATACAAAACTTCTCGACATGACAATCCAAACTCATCAGATGGTAGTAATGCCATGGAAATGCAGAATGATTGCTCTTCAGCAAACACATCACCAAGTAATGATTCTTAACTTCAACTTGGATGTATAGTTTGGATATGAATCTGAGTTCGAGTCTTTATTGTTATTGTGATAATTTTGAATCATAATGTTGTTCAATTCAATTCAAAAGCAAATCCAAATCCTTTTACATTGTTTATGCCACATTTTGGTGATCAGTCACTCCAACAAAATTACAAGGTAAAAACATTTTCTCAAAATTAAACTGTCATTCCGATTTCCCTCACAGAATTTCATCTCTCATAAATGTATTACTTGTGAATGATGCTTCTCATTATTCTATCAACCATGGAGCTTGAACTTGTGTCCACTCTGTTAATTCACCTTCTTTGAACCATAAAGCTGTCATGAAAAATTTGCATTGGTCACGTTACAACATAAATCATGTTCAGAATTTGTATGTGATACACAGACCACAAGCAAACATCAAAGGTTTTAAAACTATATTTGTTAAATATTCAAGACGAAGAACAAAAGGAATATTATAATAAATTACTATTTTGCCCTTTTGAGGCATTCTTCCCATCCTTAATAATCATGAAATAAAGAAAGAAGAAAATGCAAGAACAAGATGATACCTATCTCCCGCTTCCCATTTTCAGGGCTATCACTCCCATGAACCACATTCCTGTTTATATAAAACAAAAAAATCATGATACAATTTAGTACACAGTAAAGTATATACAGAAAAGCCAAATTCATAAATTTTATATAAAAAGGTAAAAAAGTTTAACCTTCCGGTTTGAATTGCAAGATCTCCTCTAATTGTACCCGGTTCAGCTTGAAGTGGATTTGTTGCTCCAATTAACTTCCGTGCTGATGCAACAACACCAACTCCCTCCCAAGCCTAAAAAAAATCATTTCAGTAAGAATTTATTTAAAACAAATAATTTAATAAATTTTTAACCAAAAATCTCGAGAAATAATACATTACCATACAAACAACAGGACCAGATGTAATGTAGCTAATCAGTTTGGGGAAGAAAGGCTTCGAGCTTAAATCCTTATAATGTTCCTACAAAACCATTTGCAATTGAAAATTGTTATTACTGATTAGTGTGTTAATAACCCTAAAAATCGGAGATAAAACAAACCTCACCTCTGCTAGATCTTTGGGGCAATCGAAAAGCTTTAAGCCTTTCAATTTGAATCCCTTCTTTTCAAACCTAGAAATTATCTCTCCCACCTAATTAAAATCCACAACTGCTATAATTAAGAAGAATATGGAGCTAAATTTATTGTTGCTAAACTTAATTTGAACACTTACGAGTCCTCGTTGAACGCCATCAGGCTTAATCATAATATAGGACTCCTCCACTTCCTGTGAGAATTGATAACAACGAAAGAGAAGTCAAATCGAAGCTAATTAGGGTTTTAGTTTTGAAACGACTGAAGTGAAATTAGAAATGGAGATAATAACCATGGAAGCGACCAAATGAGGAAGAAATATGTTAGGGTTTTTCTTCTTCTTGGTTGCATGAATACGAGTCGATAGTGAATTGGAGAAAAGATGAGACGGCGACTGAAATGCGGCTAGATGACGGTGGCAGGTGGCGGAGACGGCGGTGGTGGGTAAGGATAAGTTAATTCTGGTGTCGGATGGAGAACATGATAATCGGATTGACGATAGCGACGCCATTACGCTCTCCATTTTCCTCTACTTGAGCTGATAATGAGATGCTGTTAGCCTGTTATTACTGTGTATGTTTCTTGTTTTGGTTTTTCATCGGAAGAATTTATAAAAATGGTCCCTGGACTATTTCTTAAATGCATTTCTCTACTCATGAAATGTACAAATAATTATATAAAGACAAAACTTCAAAAATGGTTCCTATGGTTTTCAAAAATATCAAGTTTAGTCTCTAAGTTCAAAAAACCTCACAGATGGTCCCTATGGTTTCAAAACTTTTAACATTTGATCATTTTCGCTAACTCCGTTAGCTTTTGGCCGTTAAGTAAGGAGTATTTTTGTTACCTCAATACCCAATAAATAACATTTGGTCATTTTCGCTAACTCCGTTAGCTTTTGGCCGTTAAGTAAGGAGTATTAATATATTCAAGAATAATCAAGAACATATTTCGCCACCACCACCATTCAAACACCTTCTGCCACCATCACGGTCTGCCACCTCCACCGTCGGCCAAAAAATCATCCATAAACAAAAACAATACACAAAATATGGGTTTGTTCTCGAGTTCACCCCTATTTGATGAATACACACACACACACTCGAAATCAGATTCGATGAACATACACTCATACACACATAAAATCAGATAAGATATATACACACAAAGTCAGATGAACACACACACACATACGAAATTTGATGAAAACCCTAACTGAAGAACGAAATCAGATGAACACACACACACGAAATTTGATCAACATATGTTTTCTCGCCGTCACCCTTGATGCTCATTAGATCTGGAAGACGAAAACACTAACTGAAGAACGAAGCCGTCATCGGAAAAAGTGATCGACGAAGTCGTCGCTAACAACCCTAGCTTCGATCTATGTGTCGTCGTCACCGCTACACCACCATCCTCTGTTCCATCCTTTGCATCACCACTTGTTTAATTCGGACACACCATCATCACCGAGAGAACCTTTCACCAAGATCTGTTGTTCGTCGGTGTTGCAGCGACAAAACCCTAATCGGAGTTAGAAGCACAAAGAGCACCACCGCTACCAAGTCGAGTTCTTTGAGAAGACAACAATTAATCTGAGAATGGAGGCATACATCGGAGCATCAGGTGAACAGATTTAGCAAACATGTTTGCTCATCTGTTTCCATCTCTTTTTCATGGAAACCGAAGCTATGGGCTTTTCTCATTGAGTTTATGGATGAACCCGATTTAGGGGTTTGTTTACCCAACTGAAAACAGAGAGAACAGAGAAGGGAGATGTGGGTTTGGCTTTCTTTTTTTAGAGAGAGAGAGAGAGAGAGAGAGAGAGAGAGAGAGAGAGAGAGGGAAGGGTGAGACCCTTTAATATTAAATAATTATATATATTTTTCTTTTTTTTAAAAAAATAAGGTAAAACTTCATAAATGGTTCCCGTGGAAGTGAAATGACAGAATTGCCCTTCACTTAACGGCCAAAAGCTAATGGAGTTAGCGAAAAGGACCAAATGTTAAAAGTTTTGAAACCACATGAATCATCTGTGAGGTTTTTTGAACTTAGGAATTAAACTTGATACTTTTAAAAACCACATGGACCATTTTTGAAGTTTTGTCATTTATACGTTGGTTGATAGTCAATTCTTTTAAACGTATATACAAATTTATACCTCGATTCCATATGTTGATCCCTTTTTTGGAATGATTTGTCTGCTTATATCAACCTGTCTATTTAGGATGTTCATATTTATGTTTAAAAACTGATTATGGAATATTTAATAATCAAAATTAAATGATTAATTATGATAAAATAAGCTGTGGACGTTCAAAAAAAAGATAAAACAGATTGTAGCATATACTATTCGAATATGTTTTCATTGCTTGAATGTTTGATAAGATATGATTATTTTAAAAAATTAACAAATAAAATGATATTTTTGTCATAAAAGAGTCATTTACAATAAAAATGAAAATTTTATATTAGCTTTGGAAAAAGGACAAATGTTAATCTATTTTACTCTTTTGATAATCAATCTTGTTAAATTGATATGAAACCAATAAATAGATTTGTAAATTAAGCAAATATATTAACCCAAACATTAAAACCTGATTATGAAAGTCACAGTGACCGACTAACCATACACTAATCATACTACATTATAAATGAAACATTTTTACCATACACTAATCATAAAGGAAATATTTTTTCTTTCACTACATTCATTTGAAACTCTTAACTCTTCATATTTCTATACAACATACTTAATTTATTAACTTAAATATGTTTTTAGGTGTAAACATTATCATAAATAGAAGACTTTGTGACTTATTAATATGATATATTTAATTTGTTAACTTAAATATATTGTTAAATGAATAGCCTATATTAATATATCAAATAAGCTTAAAAATGTAGTTTAAAATTTAAAACCTAAAGTAAAATATCAAATAATGTTTTAAAAAAATTAAATATATACTTTTTAACATAGGAAAACATTAAATATAATAAATATAAAAGAACCTAAATTGATGAATTGAATTAATTAAAATGTGTCTGAAAAATGAAGTATTTTTTTCTTTTATAACATTCATTTGAAACTCTCAACTCTTCATATTTCCATATCATATACTTAATTTATTAAATTAAATATGTTTTTCATTATAAATATTATCATAAATGGAAGACTTTGTGGCGTATCAATATTATATACTTAATTTGTTGACTTCGATATATTGTTAAATAAATAACCTACATTAATATATCAAATAAGCTTAAAAATTTAATGTAAAATTTAAAAACTAAAGTAAAATATCAAATAATGTTTAAAAAAATCAATGTGTGTGTGTGTGTGTATATATATATATATATATATATATATATATATATATATATATATTAACATAGTTAAAAGGGAACATTAAATATAATAAATATAAAAGAACCTAAACCAATTAATCGAATTAATTAAAATGTGTCTGAAAACTATATTTTATGATAAATAAAATTCAGTTTAGTTGTTTTTAAATTAATTTATAATAATAATAGTTAAAATTAATAGAAACTTTGAAATTAAATTATGTTAGATTACAAACAGTTGTTGATAATTTAAATAATCATCATGATGAATTAAAATACCGTCAACTTTTTTTTTTAAAAAAAAAATTAATAAATCATAACAGTAGTAAATTAAAATAGTTGGCAAATATAACTAATGTTATACACACGTAAAACATAAGTAAAATCCATTAAACGATTTGATTTTAATAAGCGTTATTTTATTTATTGTTCAAATTAATTATAATTTTATATAAACTAAATGTAATAATAATTATTTTATAGTTAATATAAATAATATAAATATTTTTAATAACATTATATTACCAAAGGTTTTAATTAGTTTTAACGTCTAGCCCAAATCATAATTTGTTGTAACCTTGTAGGTAAGGGATACACATTTTATCCTTGAATTATTTAATAATTGCAAGTTTGATAAGTTAAATTTTTTATTTAATACTTTTGATATGTAACAATCTGGTTCATGGCTCTAGCTCTGTCAAAATATCTGTTATCCGAATTATCCATCCGATTTTTTCGGGTAACGGGTAAATCGGGTTAATTTTTTTGGGTAAGTGGGTAACCCGATTTTTTTTCGGGTCGGGTAAATGGTAAGTTGTTTGGGTTTCGGGTATACCCGATTACCCGAAATATATATAAGAAATAATGTTTCTTTATGAGTTTATCTAACCCTCCTAATTCCCAAAGCCCAATTTCCCTCGTTGAGGCTCGTTCTATTTTCCCTACGTCAAAAAACCCTCGTACCTCGTCCGCTCTTCATTGATATTCGTCACCAATGTATGACTATATTGAAGTAGAAGATGAGACGATTGAAGTTGACAACCCAACCAATGATCAAGTTCCACGAGAAAAATAGAAAAAAATAAAATAAAGAATTCAACCCAAGATCGAAAGTTTGGAAAAATACTTGATATCTCAAATATTATTGAGTAAAAATAGCACAACATACTTATTTCATCACATTTATTTTTAGGTGCCATTAAAAAATTTTTAAAAAAAAATTAAAAATCGGGTAATACCCGAATTTAATTTGGGTAGGGTAACGAGTAAATTTTTTTATATGAAAAACCCGAATTACCCGAAACCCGAAAATTTTACCCGATCAACGCCCCTACATGGCTCATGAGCTTAAACAATTAACGGCAATAAAAATACTAATAACAACGGACCATCGAATCCTAGAATGCGATGTTGATAGTCATATCTTCATTAAAGTAAAGCAACTATTACACATAAAGATCCGGTATGTGTACATGAACCTCATTTTGGTGTTGAAAAACAACTTTGTAAAATTAGTTTATTTAAATTTCAATTTACTGCAATAGTCTGTAGATGTTAAAAAACAAACATGTTTTTTATTATCGGTTGCAAGTACTGTTTGGTCCATCTCTTTTATTGCAGAAGTTTGCTAAGATGTTTCGTACACTTCATACATTTTCGTTTCGAAAAAATAAACACCACCTAAACCACTTTGTTTGTTGATGGTTATGAGGTGGCTAAGACCAAAGACCCCACAATAACATATCATAACACATTTTTTTTTTGTTTGTTATTAATTTTTTTTTCTTCTAGTAAAAAATCTCACCTAATCAACATGTTAATTAAATGATTGAACTTTTTAAACACAACCAAACATGTTACATAGATGAGTTGACATCAACCTCACCATTTTTTTTAATCCAATTTGTCAAATAAACAGTTAAATTCGAATTGGCTCATTTAAATTTTAAAATATAAATTAGACAAAATTTCACGATTGGTCCCTGTGGTTTACACAATATCGCACTTTGAGGACTTTCTAGCAAAAAGTCACGCGAATGGTCCTTAAGGTTTCATTTAATTGCGCGATTGGTCCTTGACCCTAACCCCGTCATTTTTGAGCCGTTAGTGAAGGGGTAAATTTGTCTTTTCATCTTGTTGTGCATCAGAGTATATAATTTAAGGTCCGCCTTTGTATCCTTCTACTTCTCGTTCCTTGCCTCTGTTCTTCCCTCCCTACTCACATTCTATTCCAAAATTGAAGAAGATGGTGATATGCCACTGTGGAAGGCCGGCGATTTTGGT